GGGGTCATGCTGAGTGGGTTTGGGAAGCACTGCTATAGACAGTACCTGGAGAACCCTTCTTGGTGTATTGGCTCAAAGAATGATCCTAAGACTCGAGAATGAAGTTTGGTTCTTCACTGTAGGTTAGGAACACCTTACAGTTGCTTTCCATTTTTGAACCGCATATACCTATGCTGGAAAATAAATAGTTATGCAGATTTAAAAAATATGGTCGCACACCTGAATGATCTTTTTTTTTAAAATTATTATTTAATTATTTATTTATTTTTAAACTTCAGTAAAGTCTAGGAAATATTGTTGACTCCTCCCATTAGCCCCATTTCTCAACGAGGCCTAGTCTAATGCAAAAAAAGTGTGTCACGTACTAGTGAAGAGCACCTGTAAATAGTAAAAATCATTGGCATTTCAAGCATAAGCTGTCACACCAGGGCGACTCTTTCTACTGAAGCCAGTCCAGGTGTGGCTTCTAGGGAGTGGGAGCTCTGGCTCTTTTCCATTGAGACCTTAGGCCTTTTGGTCCCTGACCCTCCCTGGTTGTTCTGTGGCCCTGACTCAAGGAGGTAGCTTCCAGTTCTGCTCTTCAGAGAAAGACTTTATCTCTTGTTCTGGAGATAAGGTGCAGCCCCAGGTACCAAACAACAAAACAGGCAGCTCCTTTTGAATAAAGGCATTTATTGAGACAAAGGCCCCCTAGACAGATGTTCTCTGCATCCTCCAAAGTTTTAAGCAGTTTCTCTTTTCCCTAGTCCCTTCCGACCCTACCAACTATGCAAATAGTCCAACCCACTCAGCCCTGAGCACCCCAGAGTTACTCATCTGTTCCCTTTACTGTTTCTATTACTCCCAAGGCCCCAAAACTGTTCTGCTGGTCTTGGTCTTCAGACTCCCTAGCCAGGAGCTGATACTCTACATGTCCAGCTTGCTGTGCCCATTGTTGTACTTATTTCCTCCCCACTTTCATGCTGCTGGGGCATCTTCCCCAAAGAATGAGTACCAAGCCCCCTTGAAGCATTAACACAGCTATTCAAGTCTTTTTGATGCTGGAGGTCTCTCTCCACCTGTTTGGCAGGTAGCCTGCATGGCACTTAACTCTTCATTCCCAGTGCGCAGGCTAATGAGGTAAACTAAAGCATATAACATTATCACAATGTGAACATGTTTAAAACGAAAACACTACAGTAAAACTAGGCTTGGCAGAACTCAATTTTTATCGGTAAACATTGATAAATATTAATTTAAACACACAGACCGATAAGAAAATATTTCCATCAATAATTGGCAGACAAGATGTTTTGGGTAAATCTGATATCTTTTATTAGACCAACTCAAATAGTTGGAAAAATTCTTCTTTGCAAGCTTTCGGACACAAACACCCTTCGTCAGGCTGAGGAAGCATCTGTCAGAGCATCTGCAGATGCTTCCTCAGCCTGACGAAGCGTGTTTATGCCCAAAAGCTTGCAAAGAAGAATTTTTCCAACTATTTGAGTTGGTCTAATAAAAGATATCAGATTTACCCAAAGAACCTTGTGTGCCTGTGTTCTTAGACCAACCCAGCTACAACCTATACCCCTGCCTCCATCAATAATTTGAAATTTATAGAAAGGGGACATAAGAAAAATCATGGAGTGTATGATGACAGGCAGAGCAGTCATACAAAACCATGTTAACTGTAGTTTGGACTGTAACTCTGAGAAGCTCTAGGGACAGAACAAAGGAAGAGAAAGTGACAAAATGGATGAGGGAGCTATGGGCAAGTGGAGCCAGGACTGATAGCAGCCCTGTCACTCAGCTGGTGGCAGTGTTACAGTTGTTGTTTGTCATTAATAAGCTGTTTACCCCCACACCTTTAATTTTGTGCAATACTGAAAATTTAAATCAATGTAAAAATCTAAATAAATGCTTAAAAATTAAACATTGATATTATCTGTCAACATTATTAAAAAATAAAAATTAAATTCTGCCAAACCTAACTAAAATCTATAGTCTGTCACAGTTAAACATCTGCTGCTGGACTGAATATTGATTAGTTCATAAAAGAATCTGCACAGGAAGAGTCCTTTGAAGTATTTTGGCAGTTCCTGAAAGAAATTAGGAGTTCGTAATAATTTAGACAACTTCCTTTCAATATAGAAATGACAGAAAATAGAAATAAGATTTTTAAACGCACACGCGTTCCTTTTGGTTGGTGTAAAAGAGAATTAAGAAACTGAGTTGAGTTGGGATGGGAGGTGTGGGTAAGCGTGAGTGACTTGAGTGAACTCAAGTTTCAAGGCTGCTTCAGAGGTCTCTAGTTTTGTGTTGCTAAAAATGAGACTGATAATGCTTGCTCAGGAAAAATGGTTCTAGCACTGTGGTAGCTCGATTTATGCAGGATTATACAAAAATAAGGCTTAAAGCTGCGCAGGGCTGTACCTCTGGACTCCTTTAGGAAATTGGGAATGGATTAATGAACCGGACCAGCTGCGTAAGGATCTCTGCACTGCACAGGCTCATTCTATATTAGTCCCGAGTATATCAGCTTCATTTTATGTGTCTCAGCCTTCTACATAGGAATGCAGAAAGGCAGTGCTAACTATTCCCTGCTTTGGCCAAGTAGAGCTGCTGTGAAAGATTTTCATTGGAGCTCTCTAGTTATGTGAGAATTGGTCTCTGCTTTGAATCTGTTTTCCACTCTCCTCTCGCAGGCATACTTCCTCAGACAAAGTCCAACTGTGCTGAGATTATACAGGAAGGAGTCTGTTATACCACAAAATGTTAAGCATTGATTTTAAAACACACTAAACAACTTTGCAGTGTTTAAAGTAATATGGAAAATGTAGAATCTGTGTTTAGCATACTTGATCTTTTGGTCTTTTTTTATTGCCCAGAACTTTTTCAAAGGTTAAACTTATTTTTTAACCACTAACAAACATTTAGTAAAAGGCAGCGTGACACTTTTAGTCTAAATTGTTTAGACTAAAGCATGAGCTTCTGTAGACTTATAATCTGCTTCTTGTACTATGAATAGACTTGTGGAGAACAGGGGTACTAAATAAAAAGGAGTACGGTCATTTGAATACAAAGGATAGGGAAAGGGGGAGGAAAGGAGGAGGTCATTAATGAGAGAGGGGGCAAGTGACTTGAAGGCATCAAAGGAATTTATCTATTTGCATCTGGTCAGAGAGTTACCTGAGCATATCTGAGCAAGTTTCTTGTGTAGTTTGCAGTCGATTTTTTTTTTTTCCACTGGACTATTGAATGTGTAGGGACTAAGCCAGGTGTGGACAATTATTTTGGCTGGAGGGCCGCTTACTGAGTTTTGGCGAGCTGTTGAGGGCCATGTTGGTAGCCCTGCCCCTTGACAGGTGCCCTGACCCCTGGTCACAATCTTGGGACCAGAAGTTCTGCCCTCAGATCCAGACCGCAGACTGTGTTTTGCCCGCCCCTGGACTAAGCCCACAAAATTATTAGAATTGAAGATTCAGGAAAAAAATGGTGTTCTGCTTTTGAATGCTAAGGAGGGATTTAATAGGTACAGATCAGCAAATGCCACCGCAGATTAGAAAAGGGATAAGAAATAAGTTGAAATGTTTGCAATCTCTTTTTGTGGCTAGATGGAATTATTTGTATTTGGAATTTAATTAGGAGTATAGTGCACGGGTGGGTTAGTGTGTGTGGGGGGGGTGTGCATGCACACTGGAAAATTGTTACTGGAATGTTCAAAGAACTTTTGACAAAGTATTTTAATCAGGTTAACAAAAAAACCCTTTTTATTGACTTTTTAAAAAATGATACATGGTTAGAGTGAGTGAGGAAAGAGGTTTTTCTGTAACAAATTAAAATTTTGTTTTAGGAATGTCTGTTAAAATGAGGTTAAGCGTGCCTTTAATATGTATGGATAATGAGAGTCTTAACTCTTTATTTTTTTTCCTCTTGTGGAAACTGAGGATGCTACATCTTAAATTTTGGGGAAAGGCTATTGAGAGAGTTTTTAAACGTAAATATGTGGAGTAGATACTAAATACTTAAGTTAATGTGTATGAAATGAGTGAGAGTCCTCTGGAGTTGGGTAGGCAGACTAGGGAATGAGATAAAACTTATGTAGCCTCTGAAAATCTCTCTAGGCAAGGTTTTTGTTGTCATGTTCATTGTCCTTGGCCTCTGTACCTGCAAGGTATGATTTGTAGTTGGAAAGGTGAAGGCAAAAGAGCAGTCTAACAACGTGGCGTTAGTGTGGCATATATTGGCTAGGCAGAGCCATCAAGCACTAATAAACTGAATGACAAAACTGAGGATGAGGTAAGGTGTTTTTACCTTTTTCAGGTCAGTGTTTGATGGATCATGCATTGAAGTAATATGCGTGATCCTTGCATATCTGTAAGCAGTGGTAGTTTGTACAGCGAGGACTATGACATTTACTCTGAAACTATACTTTTATTTTTGTTTTTTGGAAAACCTTAGATGTTTCTTAAATTCTGTGTTCACTGGGCAAATTAACCTGTTCTCATGACAGCATACTAAAGCCCTGCATGTTAAAGTTGCTTAGTGAAGGTTACTTTGTCAACAGTTACTTATTTGATTTTTCAGTAAACCAGAGAAGCAAAATACTGGGAATAAACAAGGATTTCAAGAAGTTAAGTCTACTCAGTCTGACTGTTGTGCAAAAAATATAAGTATATACTTGCTTTCATGGTATTTGAACACATTGTGTAATTTTAAGGATGCAAGCTAGTATGTGCTTGCCTTCAATTTCTGAAGCCAGTTTACTTAGGAGGCTCTGGTAAATGCAGCAGTGTAAGATAAATGCCCGTTCTTCCCTATCTTCTCTTTCAAGCATATGCTTTCTTTCTCTCTGAAAATATGCCAGCAAAAATTTTACATTTCTTCATTAGTTTACTTCATGTAACCTTTGTGACATTCTCATGGTAGTTGCTCTGGAAGAAATCCGTCTGAATAAACTGAATTGTTGAAAGGAGAACTTAAAAAGTTGAAATCGTTCTTTGTTCTGTGTTTTCTCTTAGAGCGGTCTGATGAGTTATAAGAGATTCTGGGAAGAACATTGATACCATAAAGGTAAATTACCACCTTTTCTTTTTTTAGTGTGGTGCTAAACAAAGAATATTCTTTAAAAAAATTGTTACTGGAATATTTAAAGAACTTAAAATACTTTAATCAGGTTAACAAAAAAGCCTTTTATCAACTTTTTAAATTATACATGGTTAGATTATTAAAAATGACATAAAATGATGACCCAAGAAACCACTTACTCAGAAGGCTCTGTGCCTGATAACTGAGACATTTTATGATGGTGTATTGAAGCCATTAGGGGGTTGTTGGCAATTACTTTGATAATTGGGGATTCATGTAAATTTGTATGTGAAAGGATAGTACAGTTATGTATACTGTACTTGTTGCATACAGGAGGGTACACAGTGTTAAAGGTGTTAAACACTTTTAGCTTCTCCTGAAGCCTCAGCACTTCACCAGCTCAAGTCCCAGGGCATGAATTTTCCTTGCTCAGTCTTTATTCTCTTCAAGCTCTTATGACTCTCAAGGCTCTGTGCACATTTTACAGCACTTTTTATAGCACTATAAAGTTACTGTGATTTTAAACATGACAGAATTGCAGTGTTTGGGGGGAAGGGGAGGGGGTGATGAGCCTCCCTGCACTTCCCAGGCTAGGAGGTGGGGGCATTCTGCAACCTTCTGGGGCTTTTCCACTGGTCAGAAATTTGACCAATGTACAGAAGTTATTTAAAGCACTGTAGCGTACTAAAGTGCTGTAAAACTGTTTCAGATTTAATACCTCATTTAACAACAGTTAATTTAAGGTGCTCTACCCATTTTTAAATAGCTGCAAAGTCATGCACTTCTGTTGTGACAATAAAGGACTTTAAATGGTGAAAAAGCAACTTCTGTATACACCTTCAGTGGAAGCTTTATTACTGTAAGGACTGACTGTGGCTGTCAAAATGGCTCTCAGAATTATGTTGTTTAAGAGAATACTTAGAAAGGTAGTAAATTACGTTAAAAACAAACAACTAGCCTGTCAGAAGCTATTATCTCATCTTGTCCACTGAAATGTGAATGTGAAATCTGTTTTTTTTTTCCCCCCCAAACCAGTTAATCTCTTCCCTAAGTGCAGAAGTAGAGGGAACCTTGTTTCTCATAATTTTTTCACTTAACCATATCATTATGATTGTGTTAAAAAGGGGAGGACTGATTTTTAGCTAATATTTAAATAATGTGTTTTTGGCTGCTGTTTGGAAACAATACAGAATTAGTAAAAATAGTTTGCTACCGATACACTTGTAAAAAAGCTAAGATAATGTATTTTAAAGGCAAGACACATGCAGGATAGGGTTTGTTTAGCCAGTGAAATATTGAAATCTGTGGGACTGCATGTGATGCTTAAATACTTGTTAAAACCAAGATGTTGAGTCTTGATGCCAGGATGCTTAGGTGACATTCCCATTTTCAGAAGCCTCTGTTTTGACAGTTACATTTTGATGGCTGGTTTTGGGGTAGACTGAATGTGTAGTAATATTTAATAGGTAAGAAAAGGATTGAGGGTTGCATTCATATAGGGTTTAATCCATACTGATGGACAGACACCACTAAAAGGGAACAAACCTGTAGTTGGATTTATAATGGAAAAATATGGCATTTTGTAATAAACATTCTAGTTGGAAACTTCAGAGGTTTTACACACTACAAGTTATCCAAGACTAATATTGTAGGTATTTAAACCCCCCCATGCAGAGTGTTTCTTTAGGTAGTGGTTGCTATTAGGGCTGTGCGATGCTTTGATCTCTGATTTGATTTGGAGGAGATTCAGCCCAATTCAGTAGCCAACTCTCCGAATCCAAATTGAATCAGAGGACTCTTTAATCTCTCCGAATTGATTCAGAAAGTTTCGGAGTTCTTGACATAGACACAGCTTTTAAATGTATTTTCTACATACCTCTAGGTAGCAGGGGCTCATGAGTGCTGCAATGCTGGGGCACATGGAGTATCCCACAGAAGCACAGGGGGCTCCCCAGCACGCTTGGCAACAGACCCGGTAGTGGACCAGAAGCGCTTCCGGTCCACTTCTGGGTCTGCTGCCAAGCGCGCAGGGGAGGCCTCTCCCTATGCGCGCCCCCCACCCCCCCCAACTTGGTGACTGATGCCTACTGGATCTGGGAGGGGGGCATCCAGGGTCCCCTTGCGGCCAGTTGCTGAGCCAGGGAAACCCCCGACTTGTTCCCTGGTAGACCTGGAAGTGGACTGGAAGTACTTCTGGTCCACTTCCAGGTTTGCCCGCGAGCATGTGGAGGGCCCCCCCGCACTCCTGTGGGATGCTGCATGTGCCCCAGCATTGCAGCGATCACAAACCATACCTACTACCTCAAGGTTTGTGGAAAAAACTTTTAAAGCTGTGTCTGTGTCTGAATCGCTGATTCTCTGAATCGGCATCGAATCTTCAGATTCGGGTTCGGCCAAATGAAATCGGGGACAGCGATCCGAATCAACAAATTTTATCACTGTCCCTGATTCGGGCTGAATCTGAATCAGAATCGAATAGGGCTTACTTCGCACACCCCTAGTTGTTATATAGTTTTGGACTGCCTGGATTTCTTGAGAACCTAGAAGTAAACTTGGTGGTAGCATTTTATGACTTCGATTTCATCACATAGAGTTAAAGTATGGGCAGTTAAACTATTTGATTAACTGTTGTTCTTTCTTTTTACCAAAATATGAAAAACTTTACTTGTTCAGCTTTTTCTACCATTGTAACTGGAGCTAAGAGTTATTGCAGAATCTGACTATGTGAAACATTGACTTCCTTCATAAACTTTGTTAAACGTCTACACAAAAAATGCTTTGTCTCTGCCTGTAACCTATATCATATGAGTAAAGCAGTGGCTCTCAACCTCTTTAGACTCAAGTACTCCTTAAAATATGCCAGCTCTTAACTTTTACTCATTTCTGGGCTACTGGCACTTTGGGGAAAAAACAAAAAAAGTCTGCACTCACTGGGTGCTGCCCAGTGGGGGGCGATCCCTACTGCCCCACGCTGCATGATGGGGTTCTGCACAAGCCCCCCCCTCCCCACCCGGCCAGTCCCCCTATGGCTGCCCTGCCCATCCTAGATCCGGCCCTTTAAGGAAAAAAAAACCAAAACCCTCAGTCTCACCTGTTCCTGTCTGGCAGGGGGGCAATCCCCACTGTCCTGTGCTGTGTGGGGGGCTCTGCACAAGCCCCCAGAAGCCTGAAGGCCGTACAGCAGCCATTGAGCCCTGATCTTTTGCCCCCTAGGATGGCAAAAACAAACAAACAAACAATGAAAAGGCCAAGAAAACACCAAAACTTGTATCATTTCTAATTGGAGTCTTTCTCTCAGTGTCCCAGTCTTACCAGTAGGCTGCTTCACCTTTTTTAGTCTCTCCCCAGTTTTCTGCAGCTGAGTTGTCCCACTCAGGTGTCAGGAACTCCCCACCGCTGCTTCTTATACCTTCCTCCACAGCTTCCAGCCTGGCCTGAGTACTCTTCCCCCGTTCCTCCCCCTCTGGGCTTTGGGTAGGCTTTTAACTAGCCTGTTATCTCCTGGCAGTCTACTTCCTGGCCCCTGTGCATCAGCAGCTAATTACTTACTTGACAAGTCATTAGGCTCACCACTGTTTTCCTTTTTAAAGAAACCAGTCATCTATACTCCAGCTTTTGTAACTCCTTTCTGTTTTTCCCCTCTGTTTGCTTATTAATGATAGAAATATATATTTTTGTTGGTTTGTTAGTGATGTTTATTGGCAAAAATTGAATCCTGCTAAACCTATTTATAAGACAGGTTAAAGGCACGTGATTGGGATGGTTTAGTCTAGCATGATTCTGCCCTGAGAAGGGGTGTTAGACTAGATGACCATCTAAAGTTCCTTCTAATCCCAATATCCTTTGATACCTCTATAGTCTTTTTAGGTATTAACTTTGTTTTTCGATGTGCTGCCCTGTTTAGTATCCTTCAATAATGTAGTGCAAATTTATACCTTGTGCAGCTTCAGTGAAGTCCATAGGAGTAGACAACAAATTTGTTTCTTTTTGACAACTTAAATCACATGAAACAGGATGTCAGCCACCCAACTTTAATCTCCCACTCCAATTTTTTATTATTTATAATTGATTGCAGAAAATGCTGGTTTCCATTGGAGGTAACAATTAATAAGAAACTAAGATTTGTGTTTGAAAATTGAGCAATAGTGTCAGTAGAACATTGTTGTTACTTTGAGAATGCTGCTCTGCAACTAGATGTGCGTGAAAAAAAATTGAGAAAATAAATATTAAGGAAAGGTAAAGATAATGCAAGAGACTTTTTTGGATTAAATGTTCAGTTGCTTATTTAATATTCAGTAAAATTGTTTAAAAAATATATAGGGAGTTTTCAAACCAGTTAAACGCTTAAATATTTTTGGTTTGCAGCATTGTGCATAAGGATAGATATGTTCTTTGCTCTGCTGACCCAGGACAGAACTGTTTGCCTTCTATTTTTCTAAATGTAAGGTGCAACGTGTGTTCTCTATGAAGGAAGCAAGCACACCCTGTTCTGACAGAGAATTCTTCTGTTAAATGGGATTAAAAATGTTCAGCACTTCAGAGGCACTCAGTAACATGAAGGTTGGCAACATACGACCTGCAGGCTAGATCTGATGCACAAAACCATTAGATCTGGCCCGTGGATTTGGGGCTTCTGTGCCATTCAGTGGCAGGGGCCTTCAGCTGCAGGTGTTTTTCCCTGTGTCACGGTAGGGAGAAGTGCCAGGTGCGGGCACTTTCCGTGGCACTGCTCCGACCCAAGGCGGGTCATTCTGGCCTGCAGTTGGAAAAAGCTGCCAGCTGCAGGCCTAGACTTGGTGGTGGTTCTTGGTGTCATATTAGAACAAAAATGTTTATGTGCCATCAAGTCAAAAATAAAGGTATTAATAGAAGTTAATGTTTGATTGGGAAAAAAATTGTTAAACTTTTGGATTATTTTTTTTTCATGTCAGAAGAAGTATAAAATTGTTCTTGCACAGCAAAAAAAGTGCGGACTATAGGAAGTG